TTAATTTATTTTCGTGGGCCACACTTTGCCCACCTGTGGTATATGTATACACGAATAAAATATTTTGTATTCGACTGTCTAGAAGCGTTTTTGCATCATAAAATAAACAAGTAGATCAAAAACATTATTGATAAAAATCCAATATTTTGGTGGCCATTTTAAATTTCAAGATGGCGGCCATTGAGCGGATTATTTTCTGGAGTTTTTTTTTTTAATTATCCTTAGGTATCATAGTATCACTGTAGAAAGTTTCATGCTTTCTTCCAAAAGTGCACGATTTTTCTCCTTAGCCGCTCTACTATCTATCGAGGTCAGCAGGTATGTGCTGTCAGACAACCCCATGCACAGTGACCATAGTACACTGATATGTGTCCACTGACGACACCTCTTCAGTAGACTTACTCTTTTAATAAAGTGACACATGTCATAGTTGCGTATTGCAGGCACCCTGTATATTAAAATTTCTTTTAAAAGACATACACCTATTTTTTTTTTTTTTTTATTTATTTGTTAACGGAAAACTACCATGCTAGATAGTCAAAATCGACTCAATACAACCTCATATTCCTCAAATGTGCTGGGCTTCAAGGGGGCTTCGCCCCCTTCGACCCCACCAGGGGCTCTGCCTCTGGACCCCGCCCGGGGCCCTGGGCGGCCCCCTGGCCCCAGCCTAAGGCTGCTCGCTTCGCTCGCAGATTACACCCCCCTTTTTTTTCTGGCAGGCTGCATCCGCCCATGCCCTCGGTGCTTCGTACCTTGGCTGGTCGTCCATTTTACTTTGGCGCCCCCCCCCCCATTTTTTTTGCTAAATCCTGTATCCGCCCCTGTCTACTGTATTTTATTCTATGCAGATATTCATCAACGCCTACCCTTATCTTGATGAGGGTAGGGCTGTGATATGGACCAGTACACCGAGGTAACCCTTACTCGTCTCGAAAGATGTACTGGGTTCTTTAGTGGACAATTGTGTACACTGGGCCTATGGTTTATAGTACTTGTTCGAGAAGATTGTTCTACCACCAGAAAAACAGACGAGTGTGCCCTTCGAACAAGTGCCGATATTATGGATGTAGGTTGCGTGCTCCTGCCTTAACCGCTCGGCCATTCGACTCGCCATCATGTTAGACCGCTAGGGCAAAATATATTATAAGACACTTTATTAATAGGCATGGGCGTACATGCATATATTCCTAAAGACAGAAATCGTTAATTTACATTTTATAGAACATTTTTCTGAAAGTTTTGAAATGCCTTCGTACCGTAACAGCAGCTATATATATTAGTAGACTTTATTCTGTTGTCGAGAGGATAAACAATGTGCTACAATGTTCAAATTTTCCTCTTCGCCATAATATGCCTGTCTTAGTGGTTGCAAATGTGATGGAGGGAGGGGCTCGACCCCGGCGGACAGGCCAAGCATCCTCTTTCCCGACCCCCCCCCCCCCCCCGCACCATTCCTTCCACTCTTCCAGTCGATCATGACTCGACGGAAGAAAAAAGGAAAATGTTCTCATTATTAAAGATCATCCCCTCCAAAATTCTAGATGTCTCAGAACCGCGTAAATGGCCCAAAATTGTTGTAACATCAGCCAAGACGTTTTATTAGGCGTAATGCCAACTGACGTAGGTTAATACATAAGGAGTAGGCCTAGATGAAAATAGGCATAACTTTCCCATAATGTTTGGACCTCATTTACTCATAACAAAAGTAGGAGGCATCAGAGACCAGGATTAAATATTAGTCCAAACCCATATTATTACGGCTAACAAATAACCTGCAAGATTAATTAGTTTATTTGCAGCGATCACCTTGCCCCCCGCCCCATTCCTTCCACTCTTCCAGTCGATCATGACTCGACGGAAGAAAAAAGGAAAATGTTCTCATTATTAAAGATCATCCCCTCCAAAATTCTAGATGTCTCAGAACCGCGTAAATGGCCCAAAATTGTTGTAACATCAGCCAACACGTTTTATTAGGCGTAATGCCAACTGACGTAGGTTAATACATGAGGAGTAGATGAAAATAGGCATCTTTCCCATAATGTTTGGACCTCATTTACTCATAACAAAAGTAGGAGGCATCAGAGACCCCAGGATTAAGTATTAGTCCAAACCCATATTATTACGGCTAACAAATACGGTAACCTGCAAGATTAGTTAGTTTATTTGCAGCGATCACCTCGGGTGCCGAAAAGGGGATATTTCAGTTTTATTTCTCTCTTCCATAGTTTGCTGTTTTACGAGGAAAGCAACGCTATAATGAATCCTGAAACTGTCAGCAAAGTGTTTCCTTGTTTTCTTTTTACTGGCATCCCGCTTTGATAACACATAACATTACAAGTAAAACCAGGGACATAATAATGCATACAATAGCTCATTGATAGAAGTATAACTAAAAGGTGTATTGTATAAGGAGACCCGAAGGAAATCGGCGTAGGTCTATAATAATAATGGTGTTGATCATTATCACCAACAACACTTCCTCAACCAGTTAATAAATATCAGCTCATATATTCCCCTTACAAAAATGATATATTAACGCCGACATTATTAGTACCTGGGAAGCCAGAATGTTTCCTTTACCCGGATGTAAAATGACGCCAGTCATTTCGATGAAAAGCTGGTGTCAGTAATCACTTAACACGAAGTTAATATTTTGATACTGGCAGATAATATACTTGCTGGCGTTTTTGTTACAGTAATTTGATTCAAAACCACATGCATGTAGCCCTACTAATAGACACTATAATAATAATATAATTATATGATAGGCAACAGACAACCAATATCATGTTGTAGAATCAGAAACTAAAATCTCAAAACTCTAGCAATTAAAATGCTAATTGTCGAAAAAGATTAAATATATCAAAACAATTCTCTGTTACTGATATTATTATTATTATTATTATTATTATTATTATTATTATTATTATTATTATTATCATTATTGTTATTATCATTATATTATTATTAGTATTAGTATTATTATTTATATTATTATTATTATTATTATTATTATTATTATTATTATTATTATTATTATCGTTATTATTTTTACAGGAAGGGAACGCCTGTAAAAATAACATAAGTTTTAATGGGGAACCGTCTTCTGCCTTGTCACCCTCCCATTTTTGATTGACTTAAAAATATTAGCCTGGAAAATATTCTCATAAATGAGCCCCCCCCCCCCAAAAAAAGAAGGAAAAAAAGCTGTCTATTTAACCAATATTTGTACAGCAAAAAAGCACTCTAATATGTTAAGGATGGTGAGTGGAGGATCCAGACATCAACAACCATCGCACCCTATGCATCCGCCCGGGAGTATCATTTTATCATTAATATGAACTCAATATATGTCAATAATGGTAAGACATTGGGGCAGAATATATTTCTGGTTTAGATTTTCACTAAATTCAAACTTGTAGACTTAGGAGGTCTAACTTAATTTGATTTTGAAATCAATCCAATTGAAAGTTTATTCTTAGAGACTATTACCTCAGCATATACTGTAATTTAAATACATAATACACAGACATTTTACTGAAAATTTATTAACCATCAAATATGCAGCACCATTTTTGTTTGTGAATGAATAGTAGTCTGAGGTATTCAATCTCTTATTGTGTATTAATCCGCCATCTCTGGAGATGTGAACTTAAAGATCCGTTCTTCCTTTGTTCATTTTAACTATCAGCGGAAACATTGTCTTTCTGTTCAATTACCTCAGAATTAATAAAATCATAAAAATGCAGCGCGTTGAGTCGTTAATAGCGGATGTCTTGGAACTGCAAGTATTGTACAATATGGCGCGAGTTGAGTAAACGATCCTGTTTTTACTTAAATTATTCAGTTGTTAGATATTATTGTTAATAATACATTTTGTTACTGTAATCAAATTCCATTCAGAAATATGAACATAATAATATACATTTTTTTATAAGAACCATTAAGGTTTTGCCCAGTCTCAGTGTTCTTCCTTTTTTCCCTTTTTTCTTATTGTTTGTTCTTAACTGTTCTTATTTTGTTCTTATTTTATACACTTTTTAATGATAGAAAAAGTTATAATTGTACAACAGTATATTATTGTACAGTATTATAGATGGTATTACAGAGTCACAACTACTCCACATAAGGTACAGATACGATTTGTTGGTTTTTCTATTTTAAAAAATAAAAACCTCATTTGGCATTTTGCCCCAGCCTCAATTTGTTTTTATTTCAACCTCAGTGTTTTTATAAAAAAAAAAAGAGTGTATAATACTAATATCATTATAATGTTATGATTAATATTATCATCCTCCATCATATTTTTTTATTATTATTTATTTAGGCACACAATACATGTGCCAAGGATTGTCAATAGCGAATATATCACTGTCCTACTTGTAGGTGACAATCCCTTACACAAGACAAACATACACACACGATGCTTTATACAAACTAAATCTCAATATGAGATGAGTGGAGTTGTTTTGGTCGTGAGAAAAAATCCAGCAACACTGACAGGAATTGAATCCATGACCCTGGGATTGGAGGGCAAGCATCTTAACCACCAAACTATTCAATTCACTACATTATTTATCATCATCTATATTATTATTATTATTATTATTATTATTATTATTATTATTATTATTATTATTATTATTATTATTATTACTATTACTATTACTATTATTATTATATTATTATTATTATTATTGTTGTTGTTGTTGTTGTTGTTGTTGTT